TGCGCGTAACAGTGACAACTCGCGGGCGAGTTACATATCGCAAGCCCGTGGACTCTTGTGCGCGACGCGATCGATACACGCCGATCGATCGCACGGATGCACATTCCGGGAAGCCGGAAACGAATAATATACACGTACACGAGCGGAGAAAAACATACGTCCGAGCGACCGGGCGATGAACGACTGTAATAAACGACTGTTCCGCGCGATTGAACGACTCATTTCGCGAATCGCGGTAAAGAGTATTCTTGAAAAGCAAAGATTACGGTTGAGAAACTCCCGACGGGGCTGCGGGGCTCTTCGTGAAGAGCTTGCGAAAGATTTTCAAGTTGCGATAGATTCGTGGAAAAAACTTGGAACGTTAGTTATACCCATATATCATTCTGTAATTTTAAAGTAAGATAGCGTCATTGAAATAGCCGCGACACAAATTGGAAATACTCGGGCGAAATCATCACATCAATTTAACGTTCATATAACGTAATGACGAAACACTTTTATCTGCAATTTTTTTCTACAAATGAAGGAAAATGAAAGAGAAAAATAGTAGTAGAGTTTTTCTTAATTTTAATTATATTTTTCTTCTCTGGAAAATTATTCATCATCATTAGGGAAAAAAAAAAAAAATTGAACTGAGAAATGTCTCGTTCCTTACACGCTTGTCTTGTTAATAAAATATTCCGAGACAATATAATAGCAGAGAGTTTGCTTTCCATAAGAAGGGTGCTCGCAAGGGAAAGGCGCGTTACACGAGGGTGTACCTTCGATCGCCACTTTATTCAGAGCATCGTCGCCGCTGGACGCGAGCCAATGTCAGTTCACAGCCAGGCAAGAGCAACGTCGTCGTCGAAGACGTCACTTTCGTTCCCGTTAAACGACGGCCGTGTGTGATGATATAGGTCACGCGGCTTATAACTGAACGTCTGTGTCTCTTCTAAACGCATCATGTTTTCTTCTTTTCCTCCCTTCTTGCTTTCAAATTTTAATCCTACTTTTATCATACTTTATTTCTCGAATTTTTATCCTCGCTTTGCTTGATGTCTATAGTTATACCTATAGTTATATTTTATTCCCGGCTCTTCCCTTCGTAGCGCAGAATAGAGAGAGAGAGAGAGAGAGAGAGAGAGAGAGAGAGAGAGAGTAGTCGT